AACCAAATCACTGTTTTGTTCAAAATTACCTGGCATTTGTCCAAACATATCAGCAAGTCCTCCCAGTGGGTCCCTATCCATTTTCATCCTGGGTGGCATGAACGGTCCCTCCAGAAAGAAGTCACTTCTCATCCCTTGAGCCATAGGAGCAGGAATAAACACTCCTAGATCCTTTAGAAATGAACAAGCACTTTTGTCTCTATATGCTATTTTACTTAAAACTAACATTCATTTGCTGGGAAAACAAAAAACTTCTAGAATATTAGACTGCTATTTGTATTATTTCTATCAATAATTTCTTCCAAAAATGGCATACAAGACACTAAAACATTATGCTCCACAACCAAGATGAGATGGTTTCCTAAGTGTAAAGGAGGGGGTGGGTGGTGGTGCTCCCCTATGCTACTAAAAAACATAAAAAAACTATCTTACTTTGACTGCATCTTGACGGATTTGATTGATCGTCTTTGGTCCATTGTCAAGAAAAGCCTTGCGAGGAACCCAATGGTGTTCTCGCAACTCTACGGTATCCTTTAATTGAAAAATAATGTAAATTTTATTTTAATGCCCCAAACAAAAAACTCAGTTTACCAACATATTTAAGGAAATTAGTTTTACCTGCAGCAGGAAACGAATCCTTGCTGGCAATTCCTTACTTAACATCAAGGAGCACATTCGGGCAAAGTACTGATCCATTAAGGACTGACAAGAGAGAAAAATACATTAATTGAAAAGGTAAAACAAATGTATAAATTTAAGGCTTTTAAGACTTCTAGAGTATAACCAAGGTTAATGACCAAATAATGACCAATACCGCATAAAGCCACAAAAATATGTTGTTTAATTATATAAAGATAAACTACTTTTATCGCTTCTATCAGCAACATACATACCTTGGCTCGTTCATGGTCTAATCTAGGTCCCACTGTCCTCATTATCTGACAGAGGCACTCCAAATCCTCTCCCATATCTTTGAGTTGGACTCTCTTCTTCTTTTCCAAAAG